CGCCGAGAACCCCCCGGCCCCAGATGACCCGTTTCTAGCAGCTTGGAACACAGCATTCTACGTGGTCACATAACTCTTCAGATATTTTTTGTACATCCATCCCGCAATAACCATGACAAGTTCTTAGCGTCTGGTGGAGACCACACCTGGTCCCCTTTGACGAAATAGCACAACGATGGTGATCCCAGGGATGCATGCCCATCTGAGTATGCCCAGGCAAGTCCCCGAGCAAAGACTCAACTGTGTGCCCTGTCCCCCATCTGTTGCCACGTGGGGTGCCTGAGTCACAACATATTACACAGTTCACCAGTGCACCGATGGATGCCCGGCAGACACACATGATGCTGAGGTCAGAGCTAAGGATTAGTGTTATAGCATGGTCACAATCGATGTGATATGTATGTGGTTACTGTACATGTTGGAGGTGGATGGGGCTTCTTTAGAGAATCTGTCAGTGAAAGGTGTGAATGGAATGTCTGAGCTTACTCACACGCGTAACCAAGCGTTTTCATTATGCGTCTACAAATCCTAGTGTAAAGAGCTGGGCAGCGTGTACGTGTGTGATCGTCCTCCACTGGATGGAGTAGGCGCTTCTCAGATTTGTCTCATCTGCTCTCCCCTACTCACAGTGAATCTCCTTTAGCTCAAGTGGCAGGGGCTTGTGCTTCCACAGACAGAGACGCTGATTTCTATTCCTGCTGCGGCCGTGAACTTACATGTAGAGCAAAGTGAAGGCTGCAAAATTCCTGCATAGCAGTAATATCTTCAAGTCATCGTTGGGCTGTGAAATATCCGGCTAAATATAGACGGGGGGCAGATTCTGCTCTGGGTTCTAAATCACTGTCCAGATGTAACTGAGAGCGGAATTTGGCCCAGTGTATGCAATATAGAGGCCAGTTAATTTTACCAGGAGTTTCTTAAATCATTGGTTAAAGTAAATAACTGTAAAAGTGACTAGCCCCTTTCTCTCTCTGGGTATGCGCGCACACCTCTATTGGATTAGCTTGGGCTATGGATGGTATCAGCGAGAGAAATTTCCACCCCTGCCTTTATCAATCCTAGTGGGTCCTGGCCATGTTTTGTATCATCCCCTATAAAGCCTCGTCTTCAAAGACTGTAAGGAAAACAGTGAATCTGTGTTGCAAAGAGAGAGAGCCTGGCACCTATTTATCTGCCGCTGAATTTCAGCCTGTAATGTTGCGCCTGATAAAGAAAAGACCCCAAGGTCACCGGACCGAATAAGGGGCTTTGGGTTTCATCTGGTTGTTTGTCGGAGATTAGGGAGGGATGTGGTGTTGGTACCTAGGCGGACAAGCAGCAGCCAGTCTGCATACAACTGGTTTATGACACCCTGAACAAATCGATAACATCAAACTGCCTATTGCCGGTTCTTGCCTCAGCCACCGTCCCTTGGGTTAATTATAATGTAGTCCAGGCAATGCAGACAGGGCTGGCAGAGCCGTTGCGTGTGTTGG